CATCAAACTCAGAATTATCTTTTTCACTTTTCTACTACTCATAAATCTAAACAGAAAAAAGTGGTTGACCTCTTTAAACATTATAATTGACCTCAGTTTTAGGTTGTTATACCAGGACTAAGCTATGTTTTTCAAAGTGGTAGCCAGGTCTTTACATATTATAGCTCCGTCTGCGTCTTGCATAATCATGTTAGTCCTATAAAATTTTAAATAATCGAAAAGGTTAGAAGTACTACCGTATGTTTCTAAGGTCAGCATTTTAAACCCTTTAGGAGGCATGGCTCTATCAATTTATTCGGTGAAGGGTGAGGTTTCTAGGAACTTAAGCTTGTCCTTAAATGCCATTGTTTTTATTTTTAGTTCTTTCTCTATGGCTTGCATCTGAGCTTCCTAGTCCTTATTTGGTTAGGGTTTAAGGTTCATTCATTTGAATTTTTAGGTTGTGGTATGTGTAGAATTGTGACTGGGGTAATGACGAACTGAAAGTGTTATACTCTTTTTCTCTGAAAGCCAATGAGGCTTCTAGCTCTTCATAGCTTAGTTGTCTTACCATGGCTCCTTGATTAGGGGTGGTTAAATCGAGTACTTTCAAAGCTTGTGATGAGATTATGGTCTATAACATTTGTTTAAGGGCTTGTATTTGTTCCATCAAGGCTTGAAATTATTTCATGGTTAGACCTGCATGTGGTAGGACAGGTCATTCTGAGTGTTGGCTATTATGCGTTTCTGTTCTTGTTGGGATGGCTATCTATCCTTCCTCTACAATTCTTTTCCTCAGTGGCATTATTTCATGCTCAACTAGTGAATGAAAAAGGCCCATATTTGATGCTCCAAATATTTATGTCGAGCTTTAATCTTAAGGTGATCTTGGAATCACAGAAGATAAGAGCAATTAGAGGTAAAGGCAAGGAGTATTTCCTATGTTTGCACTCTAACGCGTAAGTCAGAATGAGTAAGGTCGGAAAGAGAGTGATAAGGAGAAATAAGAGTAGTATGAACTTGCCTTAGTGGTGTTTAGACCTTTATATTTATAAATAAGCAACGGAGAACATTAAGGGACAATAAGGATAGTGCTGAGCTAATGTGACACTAAATTTGTCAGATCAATCTAATATGTTAGATTGGCATAACTATCGAAATTATCCCTAGTTGTCTGCTAAAAGCTTCTAACAAGAAAAAAGATTATTATACCCTTTTGACCATAAAATGCCCCCAAAACAATACTAGATCCAAGGATAAATCCCATTTCGCTAGTATTCTTAAACTTGTTTGGAATGCCTTTATTTATGGAGTCTAGATGGATACAAATAAAAGAATATTTGGAAAGCAGGCTGTTAGTGTTACAACCATCTTGCATTTCATCAAAGATGTTGTTTGTAATCGGTTTCACGGAATTCAACACCTAATTGATAATTCTATTAATCAGTCTTTTTATAGTAATTGAAATTTTGATGAGTTAATATTTAATTGATTTATTTCATAAGCTTCATTTAGATAGATAGTGAAATTAGTTCTAATGATATTGAAAATAGTAATAAAAGTTATTATAACTGTGTTTAAAAAAAATTATTATAGTTGTAATAAAAAAGTTCAATAAAAAAATTATACTAAATAGATCTCATTGAAATTTAACATTTTAATTCAACTTGTAGTGTAGTGAAATTCAAATCCAGACTTACATTGTTTCTTAAAAGTTATGATTATATAAATTAAATTTTTTTGCATTTTTCAAATGAATAAAATCACATTCATTTATTAAAAAAAAATTACTGAATCCTATGCAACTTTAATTATGATACGGTAAAAACAAAATTATATTTAGTATTTGGTGTGAACATACAAATTATAACATGATATTTTTTATATTTTACATATATTCAATACAAAATAAACACAACATAATTAAACAAATTACCAAATCTACCAAAATCTATTTTAGTTGATGGAACTAGAAATTTGATTATGGAAAACAAGGGGCGGGAATGAAAACCGAGGGGTGGGAATGGGATAGTGAAATTTTATCCGATCATTATTTCATTTCTTTGCAAAAAATGGAGGGTATTGGATTCTTTTCAGTTTAGTCCTTAAGATGGAAAAGTTTTGCTTCTAAAGCAATGTTAATTTCACACTAGGGTTTATAAATTTTGCAGTTATATTCACTTGTTTAGGCACAACCAAGGGCGGTGCGTAATAACAGCCAGTGAGGCCCTTGCCCCCCAAAAATTTTAAAAAATCCCTTATTCCTTTAGTATATGTATATATATATATATATATATATATATTTTATATTAAATACATTTAAATTTGTATTTAAATTAAAATTATGAATTTTTTGTGGTTTCATTATTTAATCTATATATTACAATTTAAGAGATGTTAAAAATTATATAGGTGTTTGTTTGTTTATTATACTCAAATATCATTATTTATAAATTCTTAAAATTAAAAGACTAACCTTTTAAATCACAATCATGTAAATTTAATATAAGTTAAATTAAATTTTTTATTCTCTTGTAAGACTCTAAATTTTCGATAAGTATCGAATGAGTTTTTTTTTTTTTTTCTTTTCATTTTGTTTGGTACAAGAGAGACCAAACCTAGGAGATTTAGGAAACGAAGAATTTCAAGGTTTAAGAATTTATCTCTATTTTTCATTTTAGCTTGCTTCAACTTTTCCTCTCCTATCATTTTCCACTTTTAGTTTAGATCTAAATCTCATGTTGTTGTAATTTTTTTTCTAACAAAAAAATTATATTGGAATTACTTTACAAAAGGATAAAAAAAATTATAACTTAAATCTCAAAATTTTATCATTATTCTTTTAAGAATATATTTAATTTTCTTGCTTTGATAAAATGTTTAATGATTGATTTATTTGTATCTCTTTTTTATTTTCACTTTAAATTATCAAAAAATAAAAAAATTCGCATAATTCATTGATAAATTGTGTAATTAATAATCTACCATTATTCGTAAATTTTGTTATCTGTTAAAACGGGAGTTAAGATAGAAATTAAGCGTCAAAGAGGAGTGCCAAATAATAATTTCAGAGGAGAAAGGGAGGCCAAAGTAATATTTTGGTGGGTCAGTACTGTAGCATAAGAGGTAAAAATTTTTTGGGGGGTCGTGGCCCTGTCTACCCTCAACTTTGCCATTGGTTAAAAATATAATATTATTATGATAATATTTTAATTTTATAATTTTGTAAACTCATCATATTTTTATTAATATATTATTTACATTAATAAGTATGATAGAATATTTCTTTTAAAAAAATAAAATAAAATATATTATATATCATTAGTCAATCCCTCTAAAATTAAATATCAAGTCAATGGCACAACCTTATAACCATAAAATGTAAAGTCCTCATCATCCCAATATCTGATATAGAAAAAACTTATGGTTTTCAGCTTTGCTTAACTAATGTGTTCCTTTTTTTATCTTAAAATTCATCAATGGTTAAAACTTAGTCTTCAATTAGCAAAAATGGATAAAAGTTATGCAAAATTATGTCCATGAAGGTTGTTGGATCTTTAATATGATCACAAGAGAAACTTTAAGTTTCATTAATTTTCCAATAATTTTGAAGTAACAACTTTCTACATTTAGATCTTATATGTTAGAGGTAAAGAATTTTTTTTTATATTGCATTTTTCATTTTTCATATGGCATATCAAATTTGGAAAAATCACATTCGAATACTTAATTCAATTAATTATTATAAAATTTTTTGATAGAATTCGAATCTCATTTTTTTCGAATAAAAATAATGGAAAAATGAAGTTAAAAACAAGAACACAACCTCTTGCTTTGTATACAAGCTAAAATCTATTATCATATATATCCATAATTATTATTTAGATTATTTATATATATTTAATATATTATTTTTACCTACTTTAAAGCAAAAAATTATATTAATATTATTTTTTTTATATATAAATACCACTTTAACCAATAGACAGACTAACATTTCCCCTATAAAAATTAACCCTTTTGTCTGAATTTAAAAGATGACAAGCCAGCTCCATATCAACCTGTTTCCAAGACTTGATTGATAGATAGATAAATAAATAAATAAATATATATATATATATATATATATATATTAAAGTAGATATGATAAGAAAAGAGATACTTTTGCTAAATTCTCACGATCTTCTGTTAATCTGCTTGTTTAATCTTTCTACTTTAATTTATTCAGTCATGGCGAATGAGCAATAGATTTCAAACTTTGAACAGCAAAAAGTATTGGACGAACAACGTATATTTAAAAAGAAAAAATATTCTATTTAATTCAATTATTTCATGTAACTATATGACATTTAATATATTTAAAAATTTAAATTTTAATGTTTGTAATTTTTTTTCTTATTGTTAAACTAAAATTTATATTGAAAAAATTTAAATCAAACTTAACTCAATTACTTTATATTATTATTTTTTAAATAACATCAAACAAATTTAAATTTCAAACCATAATACCTAAAGTCCCTTCCTTATCCTTACTATTTTTTTTTTAAAGAAAGGAACTGATCAACATGTTCGTCTGCAGAGAACTAGTTGATAGTCAGTAACCAAGCTATCACATCAATTTGCTAGTGTTTATAGGAAAATGCCCACTATTCCCAAGTCCTTAAGCGAGCTAAGCAAATAATCAAAGAATCAAACCTATTAACGCATTCTTTTCTTCACTACAGCACTACTTTAGTATGATGAGTACCATTTATTTTATAGAGAGCATATGATTTTGTAGCCACTGATCGTTAAATTCTCCCCCAACTATGAAAAAAATGGTTAAAAAGATCTAATCATTCTTGCTTTTTCTTTATAGATAAGTCTATTCTTTTTGCCTCAAACCTTCGCCATTTGTACAATCGAACTTATTCTTCATATATATTTTTTTCAGATACAGTTCTAAGTACAGAAGCGCACTTTCAAAGCATTATATAAAGCTACCAAACTCCTTACGTTATGCCTTAATCACAGCAATTTTCTCAGTTTCGAGAGTACATGGGAAGTGCTGCTATCGCCAAAGCTAAGATTTTAATGCTTCGGTAACGTTGTTTTGCCTTTTTGTTTTATGTTTTGAGAAGATCATAAGTGGGTTGATGATATATGATCGAATTCGTGCAGGGAAGCTAAGCGTGTTGAGCGTCCTTTGAGCAAAATTGCAGGCGGCGTTGATAACCGGGAGATCATCGATAAGTGTAGGAGGACGAACAACAACGATTTAAAAGATTCATCGTGCTGGGTTCCACATCCTAAGACTGGGATATACTTTCCGAAAGGCCATGAATGGGTGATGAAGGATGTTCCAGACGATGCGGCTTCTTTGGGTCACACTTTTTGGCTGAGGGGCGTTGATGGTGTTGAGAAACCAGAGCCTGATCATCAATTACCAAGTGATCACTATTTCCATGCAAATATGTGAGCAAACCAAATTACTTAAATTATTATAAGGAAGGAACAACTAGACTTGAGAAAGAGTTAGGGGAAGAAGGATTGTGAATAAATATTTTGGCCTTTGGCTGAAATCATAGATGGTGTGTGCTATATAACTTGTCGAAAATTAATAGTATAACTTTAAATGCTACTAATATTTCCATATTTGCATAGTATATATATAATTATATATTTAGAGATGTCAATAAAAAATCGAACGTAATTTAAAATTTAATTTAATTGATTCATATAATCATTTTATGTTTAATAAATTTGAGTTTAAAATTTTAACACATATTGCAATTTTTTTTTTTTTATCTTAGCTCATACTGCAAGTGTCTTGGTAAAAAAAAAAAATGAAACGATGGAGATTTCATAAGTTGACTCAATTTGACATGAATTATTCACTTTTTTTCCGAGTCTAAGTTAGCGCCTACAAACATATTCATCTATTGAGAATAATCAAAAAGTTCATTTTAATAAAATAATAATTAGCATCACTGGTTATATTAAACAAGATAATATAATTTGAACAAGAAATAAACATAATTTAATTAAAATATGTGAAAACGTGTTATTATTAAAAAATATTTTTAAATTATGAAAATATCAAAATAAACAAAATATTATTACTTAATCGAAAAGAAATCTTATTAAACTATAAAATAGTTTAAGATAAAGTTTTAAAGATTGATTTTAAATATTTATTTACCTTTTTAGTAAAACAAAATCATTTATAGTAAAAGTATGTAATTTTTATTTTTATTTTATTTTTTAAATTAAATATCATCTATATTTGACTATAATCAATTAACCAAAATTTTTTCCATAAAATCATTTTTCCAATTAGAATTGGTTTAATTGGTAGAGGAAAATTTTTTTGTTAATTTAAATTTGATTATTGTGAAAACATTTAAAAAATATATTTTTCAAATCGCTTATAAAAAAAAAAAATGAATAAGAGAGATCCTCTTAAGTCTGAACTTACAAAAAAAAAAAAAATCAACAGTAAAAATATCGTGAAGGTTTTTCTTATTAAAAGACAAAAAAATTATTGACTTATTTATAATTTACGAATTTAAAAAAATTTATATATATAATATATTTTTTAGTAGGAAGGGAGCGTATAAAGATGGATAAGGAATTTAAAAAAAAAAAAATCTATCGTGATGGGGCCGGCGGCGGAGATTCTCTGCTTGCTGACCGTTGCCATTGGTCAAGTGAAACGTCAAGGTCGCAATTATTCAATTTAATACATTAGCCATTTATTGTGATCCAACGGGAAAGTCAATGCCTTCCTATTTTAAAGAACACGTGGCTGCATCTAAAAGCGAGTTCACCTCCCAACACAATAAATACCTTTCTTTAAAAAAAACAAGAATAACTGATAAAAAAAAGATATAAGCCAAATTTGGCATTAACATTGAATATATTTATATGTTACGTTTCCTGGAAGCTAAGGCTACCGATTTTTCTTCGCACGAATTATCTCCCGCGTTTCTTCGAAGGTTTCCAGCCACTTCTGTTCTTTTTCTTTTCTTATTCCGAAATATAACTGGAAAGTATATTTAATTTTTTTTTAAAGGAAGCTTAATTGTTAAATCAGATCAAAAACATTTTGGGGTTTTTGGTGAATGACGAGTGCTTCGGAGTTATTCTACACGCGAAGGTCGAGAGTGGGTCGGTCCGATCCTGATCCAGGGATTGGGTCCTCAATTGATCGGAATTACAACCGCCGCCATCATCTCAGTCATCACAATCACAGGCATGATTTGGACGGTTGTGATAATCTCCGCCGGTCCTCCCACTTGCGCCACGTCACCCCTCGTGCATCCGCCCCCTCCGTACGGTCAATTTCTCCATTTCCCTCTTTTCTTTTTTAATTTCTTGTTGGTTAGTATTTTTTTTATTTGGTTGCTGAGAAAACAGAAATTAAAAGAAAAATATGGAATAGTATTTTTTGGAAGTGAAAATAAATTGCTTTTTTAATTTCTTGAACCAAAAATTAGATTTAATTAATTTTTTGTGCTTCATTTGTTGTCTCTTTTCTGCTCCAATATTGAATTTTGCTTTGAAAATCAGTAGTTTTAAGCTAAATTTATCAGTGTAAATACTAAAAAGTTGTTATATAATGTAAATTTTCTTGATAATTTATCTGAGCCCTAAGGTAAATCGCAATAAAATTTGTCCACCAACCTATACAAGAAAAAGATAAGGTAGTTTGATATTAGCTCTTTGTTTCGATTTACTTTTACTCTCCGGAATTACTTATATTTGGGTGCATTGAGCGTGTATCATTTCCTTCGTTATCGGCATTGAATATTTTGAGTGTCTTTGAATAATTCTATATTGAACTTTGCTTTGTCAGGAGCGTGCATCAATGCGATTTGATCAAGGCAGTAGCCAATTTGTATCTACCAATGGTTTAAATCCTGACGGTGTGAGCAGCTCAAGTCGGCAAAGTTTGAGTTCGAATGAGAGGCTTCCTGGAGCTGTGCTGCTTGCAAGAGCAAGGCTTCTTGAGAGACTAAGAGGCGTGTCTGTTTCTGCAAACAGGTTGGTGTTTAGAGCTCTCTGCAAGTTTGAAATTCAGTGTTTGTATTGGTTGTCCTGGGATTAGTTATCTTGTTATGCTTTTCAAAGTGAAAAAACAAGTTATAGGCTTATAGCTACTGAGTCATGTTCATATTTGTCTCGACTATTATGATTCTCTGTGTGATCTTTGAAGTCAACTTGAAGCCACTGTAATCCATGGTTGGGAGCCTACCTATGGCACTTATTTTGTTTTTGCTACTCTAGTTGGACCAAACCTATACAAGCCATTCTTAGTCTGACACCTGTTTCCTTCAAATCGGTGTCAATTTTTGAAGGACAGGACATCACTTATATTACTTTTTTGTGAAGTTTGAAGATAGTATAGATGAATCATGTGAGAATTTGTAAAAGCTTACCTGAATTCAAATAATGATTTACTTTTGTACTTAGATTTTTTTGGATCTGTTGAGTGGTGCAAAATAATCAAAAGAAGCAAAATCTGTATGATAATCTGTTGGAATGTTTCAGTGTCATGCAGTTGATTGTGATCCATTATTGTTAGTGCATCGAAATAATAAGTTTGTGGTCTTGTATGTGGGGCATTAGGACTTGGTTTAGCAATAAGAAAAGAGGTACTTTATCATATGATAGATCTGTTTGGAAGATGGCTTGGGGTTATAGCCAGTTAATGAAGATTAATTTCACTCGGTCCATACCATTTTTAACTTACCATGCACCATGATGCAGCAATCCAGTCAGTTGTGAGGGTTGTCACTAGTGAATTTAACTTTCAACAATTGTTTTTGTATTTGATACCCAGCCCTAAATACTTTTATGGAATTGCCTACTATAATCATCATGTTTTGACAGATTTTTTTTCTTAAAAACAGTATGCTGATTTCAGTCATCAGCATATTATCTATCTATATTCTTGAACAGATTAGATCAATTTTTTTATGCTAGAAAAATATGTCATTACTTTAAGTCCCTCTCCTGCTAATACATTAAAGAAGATATTGCTTTTGTTACTTCCCAGCTATCAGTAGTAATTTCCAGGCCCACTGCTTCTGTTGGTGCTTTCTAACCCAGAAGTGGTGGTTGTACTTGCATCACTAATTACCAACACTGTCCAGTCCCACTGCTGGTGCTTCCTATCCTGTAGTAATGTTAGTGGTACTGCCATCACTAACCACTATGACTATCCTGCCCACTTCTGCTGCCACCTCCCGTACATAGCATATTAGTATTCCGCATTTCCTAACTACCAATAACTGCTTGACAGAAGCTTGTGGACCATTCGAACCTGTATTTTACTTATTTGTGTCTGGGCAGCCTGGCATTCACTAATGTACATATATATGTTGTGTCTTGCATTAAACAATGGACTTCAAAGTCCAAACTACTGTTTAAACATTTCGTACATTTTTTTTTTTTGCTTTTTTTTTTCATTTTTGGTTTCTTCCCTTTGTTATTCTTTGGCTTTGGTTAGGCCAAGCAGCAGAGCTCCACCTAGCACGTATCAAAGAGAGTATTTATTGGGTGACGATTTGAGGCTCGTTGATTCAGGGGACTGGGGAAGTGAAATTTCTACAGGACAGTCAGCTGGGAGCTCCCCTTTTTCTGACCTAACCTCTCAAACAGAAAGGTTTCAAATATTACAAGAAACTAACAAGAAGCCTCCTGGTCTTACTCAGGAGGTCCTGGACAGTTTGCCACATGAGGTTTTCAGCAGCGGAGATGTGGATGATGAAAGAAAGTTGTCAAGGGAATCAAGGGATTGCAGTATATGTCTGGACAGCTTCAGGGACGAAGATGCTCATACACGGCTGCCGTGTGGGCACAGGTTTCACTTGGCTTGCTTAGATCCTTGGGTTAGAACTTGTGGGGACTGCCCTTACTGTAGAAGAAGTATATTATAAAAGTAATCCGAATCATCAATAGAACATAACATAAGGCTTTTCTTTTTACTGTTTCTCTTGTCTGGTGAAAATTTTGAGTCAACCCAATTGCAGATGCATTTTGTAATTTGAACTCTACTGTATTTGTGGTGTATTTTGTAAAAAATAGTTTAATTGGTATTCACCATAGTCTTAGCCTTTTCCCCAAATCTTGTTCATCTAAATTTGAGAAGAAAATTCCCAAGTCATTTCATTTGTGCAGCTTGCAAAAACAAAATAACATGTGTTGACTTAAGTCGGTTTCTGTGTCTTTCTGTCAGCCTTACTTATTTCACACAATGCAATAATCTTTGAATGCCCCAAGAAATTAACATCTATTAAAAAATTATTATTATGATACAATTTTTTTTTTCTTTTTTCGGATATTGGATGCATGAAGTATAAATTGATTCCTCATTATACCCAAATGAAAAATTGTTATACCAAACTAGTTTAATCATACAAGTTAGTTTTTGATACAACATTTTTTTAAAAAAAATTTCACAAGTGCACCAATAGATCAACAAACATTTTTTTAATTAATTTTTTAATATGTTCTCGTATAAATACTCGTCCTTTTATTAATAATTAATTTTAATCTCATTTGCGAAAGTTTAAAAGTATGGTTGGGTGATAAAATAAAATTTTTAATTATATATTTATAACATAAAAAATTAAAATATTTTTTTTATAAAAATATTAGTCATTTAAAATAATCTTTGTGATCAAGAGGTTTAAAGGGGCGAAAATTTAACCCAAAAAAAAGGTCAAAAAGAAGGAAAAAGAAAAAAATAACACTATAAAAGGGGAAAAGAAACAGAAAAGCCTTCAAACGAACTTAGGCCGTTGCAAACGCGTAGGCTACATTGTAATACAGCAAGCATCGGGTATTCGTTATCTTCCTCTTCACACGGCATCTTCCCTCTCTCGTTGCCCCACTTTCCTCTTTCTCTCTCTCAAATCGTCCATTACCTAACCAAAAACCACGCCAACAAAAACAAAAATAAAGAGGCATCAAACCTCTGTCTTCCAACCTAAAAAACATGTTAAAACTCTCTTCATAGAAACCAAAACAAAAAGCAAAAGCCAAACAAGTCATAAGGAAAAGACACGATCATTCATATAGCAGAGGATCAATAGGAAGGATGATGATGTTACGGTCGCTTTCCAGGCCGCTTGAACGTTGCCTTGGGGTGAGGGCTAGTGGGGATGGTCTGATGTGGCACGCTGACCTTAAACCCCACGCTTCCGGTGATTACTCCATCGCTGTCGTGCAAGCGAACAGCAACCTTGAAGATCAAAGCCAAGTCTTTACATCCCCTTTTGCCACCTACGTTGGTGTCTATGATGGTCATGGCGGCCCTGAAGCTTCCAGATTTGTCAACAAACATCTTTTCCCTTTTCTTCACAGTAATTATTCTGACCTTTCAACAGTTTTTCATTCCTTTATTTTTTTCTTTGGGGGGGGGGGGTTAGGACAAATAAAGTTTCATGGTACTTGTCGTCGTTTGGATTATTGGATTTGGGGTGTCTTTGCATATGTGCTTCTGCCCCTGCCTTTGCCTTTGCATGTAAATTTTGTCTTCTGCTTTGTTTTGTTATTACTTATTACATGTGCATAGAATGAACATACTATGATGTATATGGCCATGTTAGGCAAACCTTGAGCTATCAATGGAATCATTCAGAAAACATCAAATATTTATCCAATAGTTATACGCACATTATGTTCTTTTTTTTTTCTTTTCTGTTTTAATGGGCAAAGAGAATGTTGTAGTAAATCTCTTCCTTTGTTTTGTTTTAAACATTATTTCTGGATGTGTTCATCAGTATATGGGATATTTGGACACAACCTACAAGTGTTTATCATGCACGTTTATTTAGTTGTTTGATAAGTGCACTTTTGTATCCAATGAATATGAACAACTTGTCTAAATTTGTATCTACATACGTTTTTAGTGGACTTTGGACTTCAAGATTCAAGAATCATTAACAAGTGTAATTCAACTTTTGGCACCTTTAATCTCGTTCTCTTTTGTTGGGTTTTGCCCCACTTGACTGATAAATTTGCATCTGATGTATCTGAAAAGATTGATGGAAAGCATAGTGAATGAGCTAGGCACTCCCTCTGACTCTTAATTTTTGTGTCTTAATTGTAGAATTTGCTACAGAACAAGGGGGATTATCTGCAGATGTGATAAAGAAGGCATTCAATGCTACTGAAGAGGAGTTTTTACATTTGGTGAAGCGATCATTGCCTCTGAGGCCTCAAATTGCTTCAGTTGGATCATGCTGTCTAGTTGGTGCAATTTCAAATGATGTGTTATATGTGGCAAATCTTGGTGATTCGAGAGCAGTCCTTGGCAAGAGAGTTTCAGAGGATAAGAAAAATATGGTGGTGGCAGAGAGGCTGTCAACAGATCATAATGTTGGAGTTGAGGAAGTCAGGAAGGAAGTTGAGGCACTTCATCCAGACGATTCTCGTATAGTGGTGTACACCCATGGAGTGTGGAGGATTAAGGGCATAATCCAGGTACAATTCTGTTGGCAAGTTCATTTATAAGAGTTTAGGTTAAATCGGTCAGTTTGAGGAATGCTAATGTATTGGCTCTAGGACTAGTCAATTTTTATTTTTGCTTTTTTGATATTCGACAATGAATCAGCTCTGCATCTGCCCAAGCAGACTGAGATCCTGAGCGGAGTTGATTGTCTATCCATTTTTGTCCCAGGTATCATTGTTAGCAAAACCCTTTTTTTTATCGGTTTCCTTATGCTTGGTGGAGAAGTATATTTACACACCATACTTTGTGCATTGTAACTAAAGCTATTCTAAAAAAGGATTGCCCTTCCAACTTTTCCAGGAATATTTTGGTCTGACTTCTGGTACTGTCTCATGCAGCTATGTGTCAAATAGTATCCCTTCTATGCATGAGATGGACAAATGCAGACCCCTGAAGCATAATGCTAAGCTTATGTAACTACAGGGAGTCTTTACTCTTTTTCTTTTTTTTTCCCCGGTTTTTTTTTTCTCTTTTGGTGATTTTTTTCCCTTTAACTTTAGCAGGTAAGTGGAGCTTTATGCTTCAATCATTACTTGAATTGAGGGATTATGATACATTAGCCTTTAATCTTACACCAGACTGTATGACTCTGGATGGTTGATTAACCAATGATTTTAGAGCATGTAATGGATTATGCTAGTCTAAGCATTTGTTTTTCTTATTTCAGGTGTCAAGATCTGTTGGTGATGTTTACTTGAAGAAACCTGAGTTTTATAGAGATCCAATCTTTCAGCAATTTGGAAACCCTGTACCCCTTAAAAGACCCGTTATTACTGCAGAACCCTCCATCCTCATTAGAAAGCTTAAGCCACAGGACCTATTCCTGATCTTTGCATCAGATGGCCTATGGGAGCAGTTGAGTGATGAAGCTGCTGTCGACATTGTTTTAAAAAAACCCAGAGTCGTGAGTATTCTTTTTTGTCTTATCAATTAAATTACTCTTTATTTTCATTGGACTTCATCTTTATTTTCATTGGACTTCATGGATTTTGTGGAAACGCATTCCCACTTTTATCTTCTGAAACCAACTAAACTTTTCAATAGCGTTTTGGTATTGATTCTCAAGTACTTGAATACCTGCAGGGTATCGCCAAGAGATTAGTAAGAGCTGCACTTCGAGAAGTTGCAAAGAAAAAAGAGATGAGATATGCTGATATTAAGAAAATCGAAAAGGGAATAAGGCGCCATTTTCATGATGATATCACAGTGATTGTAATTTATCTTGATCAACACCGAGGCTTCTTCAATAATAGAGTTGAGCAAAATGGCATGGGGTGCACCACGGCACCTGTTGACATCTATTCCTTCAATGCTGAAGAAGCAGATGATGATCTGCTTCAAACAATTTCTTGAATGCAGCAGAATGAGTTACAGAGTGGCACGATGACTTGTCAAGTAAGTTTATTTATGTATAGAAACCAAATGATAGGTGGGATTGGTTATCAACATTAGTGTTCATTGGAGAAAATATAGAGCTTGGATAGGTGTATGCTAATGGAAGCAGGTTGCTATAGATTTTCCAAGCGAAGTTCTACCACACTCGATTATCTTTTTATCTGTTGATTCTCGTCTTTGCCTTCTTGAAGTTGATATCAATGCATCCTAAAATAGATGAAGGCAACATTTCTTCATTCTTTTTCTATATTCATAGCAGTGTGTACGATAACACGATGTCGATCAGATGATTCACTAAAGCAATAAAGAGTGTTGTTATCTTTGTTATATGGATTTGAATTTATAGAAAGGTTGCGGGACAAAACTCAAAAATCCCTAATCTCTTAAGAAATAGATAAATACTGTTGAAATGGGTGTTTTTCAAGAAATCCATTATTTTCAAAATAAAGTTAAGCGGTTAACTGGTTTTTGTCTCTTATAAATTGTCTTAAACAATTTTAATCCTATATTAAAAATGAAAAGTGTGCTTTTGACCTTTTGTTTATTCCTTTTTTAGGGGGGGGACTGCCAACACAACAACATTGGCTGGTAATTTGGGTGTGTAAATCTAAACAGAAAGATGTTAGCAACAATTTTGTAAGACACCGACATGACAAGTAGCAACCTACTCGATGGGTGAAACCATCTAACCAAAAGATATAGCGACGACCAGTTGAGCATAGACGTCACTATTTTTATATATTTTATAAGTGTTAAAATTTATATATTTATATTATATTTTTTAAGTGTTATAATTTATGTTAACACAAAAATATTAAATATTTTTTTTATTTTTGATAAATTTATATATTATTATTATTAAAATTTTAAATTGTATTATTTTTATATTTTGTTTTTATATCATATTAATATTAGATTATCGTATAATATTTTAAATTATCATGTATTGAATCAAAATTAAGATGTTTGTCACTTGTAACTTGTACTGCAAAAATCTTGCAATGTCTTTGGATATAATCTCAATTACCAATTATTTTAGAAAATTTTCATAAAAAAATTATATACGAATTGGACAGACATTCTCTTGAGTAGGGAGGGCGATTTAACCCGTTCTCGACAGGTTTCGGCCCAACCCGATCTTATGGAGTCGATTTTTATGTTTTTGAAATTCGAGTTTTGAGTCGGATAGAGTTAGAAAACAGTCGGGATCGAGTCGGGTTCAGGTTTGCCTAAAACCCGACTTGACCCGACTTGATATTATATAAAAAAATTATTTTTTAATTATTTATATATATTATATAATGATATTTTTTAATATTTATATTTTAAAAATAATATTTTATATTTTAAAAAATAATATTTTATTAAATTTCTGGTCAGATCGAATCGAATACGGGTTACATAGTATCGGGGTCGGATCGAGTTCAAGTATGAAAAAATAAAAAAAAAATTTCGAATAGGATCGGATTCGAGTTTAATAAAACAAAAAGTCAAGTTAGGTTCGGAGCGAGTAAAACTCGCCTCGAATCCGACCCGATACCAACCCTACTCTTGAGCGTGACCAATTAATTAAGAAAGAAGCATATGAAGAAGAAGCTAAAATTGAATTTGTTGACCTTTTAAAAGTGGTTTTAGATGTATAAATATAAAAAATTAAATTAATCAAGTAACACATAAAATTTTTTAAAAATATACTAATTTTCTAACTTTACTTATAAAATGAAAATTTTCACTCATTTTTTAAGATCATAATGGCTTATTTGTCGTATAATGAGAGACTAAGATATTAACGTTGGTTTGGTAAGACGTAATGGACTGAAGGAATTTTATAATTAAAAACGTCATTTGGCTGCGAAATTCGTTAAGATGTTGTCGAAGTATGGTAGCCCAAAATTACGGTCAAATTTGGGAATTCAACAATCAACCACAACAAAACAGTATAGAAACATCAGCCACCAGAATTTTAAAGTTGAATATTTTTGCAAGTTCTGATTTTTTTTTCCTTTTTGAAGTCCCCACTTTAACCAATGACCATCGTATTTGAAGAAAATGAAACAAAAGCAAAGAACAAACTGAGAGAAATTCACAATTTTATGTGAGGAAAAAAAAAAACCAAAAAGAATTGTTTCAGTATGTTTTTCTCGGACAGTAAGCAAAACCAGCCCTTTTAACAGTTTAAAGTTTTAACTTGCATTCGAAGAGGGCACCGCTTGACTTCTGCTCTTGGAAGCAAAATTTTGTTCAGACTTTTTTTCATGGAAGCAAGCAAGTTAATATTCCCAAATTACTAATTTGATTGGAGAATCCCAATAGACCTTTCAAAATCTGAGCTTTTGCAAGCCAAAGAAAAGAATGACTGCGAGTCATTTGGTTGCTGAATCCGTGTGGAAAACTATTGAGTCAACTCATGCAGGTCCTTTCCCTTTCCCCCTATTTCTTCTTTCTTTCTGAATATACCATTTTCCTTTCTAATTTCTTTATTTGATGCTCTTATGTACATGTTGTGTTGAATTGGCCAGTAAGCGAGGAGCAGCTATCAATGTAAGTGATGCCCATTTTCTTCTTGGGTTTAAGAAATTTGGCAAGGACTGATAATGGGTATTGACTAGTTCTTTGCATTGCAGCTTGCATTTCCTGTTTGGTAAAAACTTTGAGAGAGCGACTAGGATAGTGGACCAAAGGGGTGTGAAGAAGATCACTGGTGAGCCCAGCGGTCGTTCCATCTTTCAGGTTCATTTTCTTCTTTGTACCTCAATCTCATTTATATATATTGGTTTTGGCAAATGTAATCAGAATGGTTGGGCAATTTGTCAGTTACCCAGTCTGTAAATTTTGGTCATTTATATGGGCAATTCCATTTTAAGAAACTTCCCTGGAAAATTTTCTCAAACTGGATTTTTTTTTTCTCATTGTTTGTTGCTTTAGGTTGTGGGAGAATCAAGGAGGAAGGAGGAGTATTTCTGTTTTGCTGAACACTATTGTGCTTGTTATTCATTCTTTTATGATATAGTTAACAGAGGAGAACAGCTTTGTGTAAGATTTTGTTATTCCTTTATCTCCTCCCATTTCTCGTTGTTCTTGTTATGTTATTGCTTTTAATAGTTTTATTTTTTTTCTTTGTTTCTTTTGTCTCAGTGTAAGCATCAACTAGCTGCAAGACTTGCTGGATCATTGGGAGCTTGTGTTGAGGTTAAAGTGTCTGATGAGCAGCTAGCATTATTGCTTTCAGAACTCTAGATCTCTGTAATGAAATAGTGACTCTTTATTTTTGAGGTGAGGAGGTAATTCTTGAGAAACTATATGAGAATCAAGCCCTGTTTGGAGAAAATCAGGATCTTCTTTGTATGTTTTTCCCTGCATTTTACAGCTGGTGAATAAAAAGTTTTTTTGAACAAATGCAATCCTCTGTAATACAACATTCAATCTCAAATCAAGGGACAATCTTGTGTGTTTTCATCTTATCGATCCAAGAATTGAACAAATCCATGCTCTTTGCTCTTGTTCAAGAAGCTATCCAACAATGACTTCCCATAAAACTGCATCAGCAAACCACCATGCCCCAACCTCATTCAATTTTGTTGGCAAAAGACCCTGGTCTCTCACGGTCTCATCCCACACTGGACCCTTGTCCTTCGTCATCTCAACCAAGCTCAGTTTCCCATCACTTTCTTGGAACCCGTAATGTCCAATACCAAACTCCTTAGCTAACTCCTCCCATAAATCGACCAGAGTTAAGCTTTGGGTTCAAACAGACTGTATTTTTATATAAAAAAAATTAATAAACTTAGTATATGTTTGACATACAAAATTATGATTGGATAGAATAAAATGATATTATAAATAAGATTAGATTAAATGATGTCATCTTATCTTATATTTGATGTATGTAAATATTATAATAAAATATTTTATTTATTAGTCAAAATTATTTTTACTTAAAATTTATATAATTTAAATAATTAATATAATTTTTAAAAGTATAATAAGACATAAGTTTAATTTTATGAATTAAAAATAAATTTTTTTATTTTAGGTGGATTGAATCATCTTATATACTAATAGGATAATTAATCTTCTTTGTAATTTTATCTCTATTTTTATATACAAATCAAATATAATATAAAATAATTATCATCTTATTTTATCCATCATCTTATGCACTAGACATGATTTTAGATCTTACATTATTTAATTCAGGTAAAAGAGAATAAAAAAAGTACAAGTATATCAGTTATTGATGAATCATTCTTTCCATTATTGAACGCGGCAGCAGAATTGGTCTATATTTTTTTGAGGCTTATTCTTAGAAACTTGGCCAGCTGTGAAGTCCTCGGCATAATCATGCTCGTGTGGAACTCCCAGCATCCAGAGAACGTTCTTATCTATTATTATTGCAATAAAAATAGAATTTGAATTATTATCTATTTAATGAATGATAGGTTGTAATGAGAATGATCAAACCATTTTTATTCCTTTCCGAATCATGTTCTACATTTTAACAATAACCCACTTTTATTCTAGTCTTGTTCAAACCCAATAACAGGCCACAAGACTTGATTTCAATGGCTGTTCTAGTATCTGTCTTTTCTTTCCTCTGATTGGAATAAATCCTGACGCTGATGCCCCCTTCATTCACAAAAAAGTTGAACCACTCTTAGATAACACCAAAGGGCAAAGTAAACAATGGCTTCTTTAATCAAATCATGAATATAAACTTACCATCATTGGATCCAAAAGTTGTAATGTCAAATTATGTTTGAGAAAACATCAGAACAGAAAATCCCAATTTGCCAATCAATATTCCTTTAGATAACAACTTTACAGCGTTGTATAATATGTTAACTGCACATAATGATTTCTATTTTATTGGCTTAGAAGTTATTGTATAAGTTTTTCAATTCCTCACTTTCCTCTTTCTCGTCTCATCAGCTATATAATACAAAGTTCCCCCACCAGATACAAGCCTAAGCTAAAATCTAGCTCTAGGCATTCAAAAAGCTAAAGATAACATACTATCATCTAGGAAAATCACAGAATCCTTATAATTTCTGCCTTGTTAATAACACTAGATATTTTCATTTTTGCAAACTTTCTTCTGCTACTGCCAATTCGTTGTTTAATCATGTTGAAAATGAAACTGACGAATCATGTTGCCTCTTCGAGATAAAGTTTACTTAATCTTTTATATTTTGTTGGCACGTTAATCATCATAAACACATCTATCTATGCTATTTGTAACATTTTAAATCATCTTCATTTCTAAGAAGTTCCGCAAAGCTTCTTTCATTCGACCATTTGTACAATAGGCATAAATAACAGTGTTACACGAAATTATATCAGGTTTTACACCTTTTGCCAAAACTTCCCTAAAAATTTTTCTAATTCCTCAAAATTTTCAGAGCGGCTGTACATATACATCAAACTATTGTAAGTTGTCAACCTAGAGTATATCCACTCTCATTCAAGAAGTTCAAGATCTCATTTGTCTTCGAACCATCTGCCTCCTGCCATATACTGAGACCATTGCATTTAGAGTAGTTATGTCAGGTTAAAATCCTTTCTTCCACAATTCCGAGAAAGCACGCTCTGTTTCCACAAGAAGGTCACATCTACTATTAACCAAAACAAGTCTTTAAGAGCATAGCATGAGGTTCAATGATACCAGAGTATATCTCTTCTGCAAGGGCATGCATCCTATCTACCTGCCTCCCATTGGCATAAACTTGAAGCAAAGGACAATAAGTTAGCTCATTGGGTTTACACTGACCATCTCTCATTCAGCGAGTATTTTCTCAGACTGTTCCCAGAGCCCTCCCCGTGCCAATGCTGCCAAAACAGCATTATACGTAGAAAGGTCTGAGATAACTCCAGCTTCCAGCATTCTCCTATAAACAGCCATGGCTTGATCATAAAAACCACTGCGACTGTATGCACTAATTAGGGCGTTGAAAGTGCCTCTTTCAAGTGCAAACCCTGCCCTCTTCATTTCTTTGATTACTCCTGTCATTTCTGAATCCATCCCATTTTGCCCAAACACTGCCAACAGTGTATTCCAAGTAACAACATCTGGTGAACCATTGCATGCCTTCATCTAATCAAAAACCTTCATCTCTCAGTAAACTTTCCACGGCTACCATGCATCTTAATTAAAGCATTGAAAGTACAAATATTTGGCCCGGAACCTGCACTTCTCATCTCCTCAAAAACCCCCATTGCAGACTCATCTTTCCCAGCCTTATCAAATCCTGACCAAAGAGTGGTATAGGTAAAAACATCAGGCTTAATCCCTTTTCCCTCCATCTGTGTCTTCAATTCCATTGCTTCCTCCAGGAGACCATCCCTAGCATATGCAGAAATCAACCAATTATAAGTCACAATGCTAGGAGCTAAGGTCCATCTCTTTTAAAATCTCCATGGCTTCCTTAGATCGCCTAGACTTCCCATATACATCCAACAATGCATTACAAGTAACATTATCTGGACTAAAACCAGCCAATTTTATTTCATCAAAAATGAAAGCCGCTTCCTAATGCAAAGACCCTCTGTGACAACAACTTATAAGTGTATTATAGTATAAACATCCGGGGCAACTGTATCATTCTTCATCCCATCAACAAGAGCCGTGATCTTTCTCCAAGGCATACCCATTTTACCATACATATTCAAAATCACATTATAAGTTATCCTCTTCCTCCATTTTCTGAAAAACGACCATGGCTTCCTTATACCTCCCACTACCGGCATACGCAGTTATCAAAGAAGTAAAAGCATAAGCATCAAGACTAAACCCTTCTTGATGCAAGCTATTAAATAAATTGGCAGCAACAGAAACCCTCCCTTCTTTTCCTAACATACTGATGCTAACAGCAACAATAGAACTATTCAAAACCTATTCATAGTCTTTTCTACACTTAACCCAAATAAAAACACCCAAAGCCAAGTCGGATTTCTTGTAAAAACCTAAACCCTTAACAACTCCCAGCATTTCAGCAGTCAAAAATTTTGTTTTTGCATCTGGGTTTTCTCTCTGCCATTTGGAGAGATTGTGAGAAAGTTGCAGCGTTTCTATCAATGGTCGAGCAAGTCGAGAAGACCGCTAGAAAGAGAGGGAGAGAAAGAGAAGCTAATTTTTAGCAAACAGTGTCCTTCTCTTTATCACTCTTAAGAAGTCATTAGCTAAGTCCACCCTTTCTATGTTTACTAGACAAAGGGAAAGAGATATAAGAATAGGATAGTTTAGGAAGCGGGATATGACCAATGAGAGCTTGTCATGTCAGCTTTGACTAAGAACTCTGGTCAAAACCTTGAAATTTTGATTTTATAATCAATGGAAGTTTTCCGTTGCCATTGTTAATCTTAGCGAGTTATTTCAAAAAAAGAAAAAAGGCAATCTTGACGAGTTTCAAAATTAATACAGAAGGGTAAACAATCTCGTTAGTCCTTGATGATCACACCATTGTTCAACAAAAATTCTTCAAAAGAACAACACACCCTCCAGTGCCGAAGATTGTTAAATCCATTTTGAGACTAGATCAGTCAAGCCATTTGTAAACTGGCTACTGCAAAATTCCAAGATATTAGAATGATGTAAGAACATGCACAAGCTTTTATGGCACTAATGATACTGCATAAAACGGTTTACAGTATAGGAAATCCAGAAACAAAACCCTTAAGAAGGTTACTTCTGCACACGTGATGTAATGCTAAAACCACTAGTGATTGAAGGCAGAAACACTGGCTTTCTTCAGCATCTCAACGAAGAGATAGGCCCCCGTAAACAGATGTTTCCTATTTTGCAAACTTTCTCTCTCTCTTGGATCCATCAAAGAAAGTGAGGACTAATCAACCTGGGAATTTCAAGAGATCCAACGCGCTCTTTCCCTCCAAATATCTTCTTCAGCTTCTCATCACAAATTATAATCTCATTGTTCTTAGGGTCCTAGAGAAATGGCAAGAGAGAAGCAAGTCAGTTACAGGTTACTAGGTTGGTAATAAATTAAAAGATTCAGAGCATGCGTGGATATTCAATTTTTACAGCCATTAACAGAGGACAAAGAAAAATGAAGATCAAAGCGCAGTAGCTGAAGCTCATGACACCTTCATTCACAACCCTTACACGCATCACTCACAAAGTTACATAGTAGGGATCAGCTTAATTACAAATTCTAGGGTCTCAAAGCATACATTTACGAAGCATTTCTTAAGCAGGAACAGATTATTTGAGCCATCAGCTTCCCACATAAGCTGCTTGGTAAAAGTCAGAATTGGGAACCACATAAAAAACGTTGCACAAGTCATTATGTTGAATGCTCCAAAGGCGTGGAACAGCATTAACTCTTGTCAAGGTATTGGTTTTGTATGCTCCAAAGCTTCTCTTCTTTTCAAGAGGAAGACTAACTGTAACTCTAAGTCCTTCACCAACAAAATAAATATCCCAAACATACGGTTGCATTAACCAGTAATAATACTCTCAAACAAAAGAAACCCGCTCAAGATAAATCATAATAACAAAGCCGACAGTGCATGGCCACATTTACGTTCATCCACTTCAAATACAGAAACTCATCTACTAACCCATAGTTCCAATTCCTAGATGTCTGAGGCAGATATACGAAAACATCCAAACGAAAGTAAGAACCCAGTAGAACCACTCTTAGTCCAGTATCTGTATAGAAGATAACAGAGCATCAACCAACCAGCGGTCTCATAAACAGCAAAAGTTTATCCGAAAGACAAAACCCCACAGAAAAGAGATGTGAACACCATATATTTATTTATTTATTTACCAAGAAAGCATAAGATATACATTCACGATCACAGAAATAGAAATAAGAGTAAAACTCATCCAAAACCCTTATAAATTCACAATAAATTAACACAGCCATATCCAAACACAGAAACCCATTTTAGGAAATATAGTTCAGAGATGAAAAAAGGGAAAAAAACAAAAAACAAAATAAAAAGGATAATGGACCTGAAGATTGTGCTTTTTAATGTAAGCGCAAATCTGCATAAGCGCTTGAGTTCGAGGAATTTCGGGGACTCCGACGAGAGCTTGCATCTCAGGCGACACACGGCGAGGCTTCGTGATGCCACGTGGCGGTCGGGAGTCGTTGGCGGGCTTTGAAGCCATGACTTGAGTCATGGTTCGTACCATGCGCACGTTAGTTGGAAGAAGACGGATAGAGGAAGAAGAAGAGGATTTCGCTAAGAACGACGCCGTTGGCGGCGAGATAAAACTGGAGAACATGGCCGAAGAGGCTGACATTTTCTTTTCGTTCTTATTGTTAGGGGAAGAAGAGGAAGGAAGGGACGGAGGGTTTTGTGTTATCCTCTTGTTTTTGAATTTTGGTTTTTTTTTTTTTCTATAAGAAGAAGAGTCAAGAGATGGGGTTTTTTATTATTTTTCTTTTATATTTTAATAGTTTTGATTGTTTTTTGGGAGCCTGCCTTAAATCAAAATTATTAAATTGACCTTGGATCCCAAAGGGGCCAAGCCCAAATTGCCTCTCCTTCTGACTATGATCCAATCGAACCCTAAACCCAAATCACCATTCTTTCATAGGCCCATAAAGCTATAAAAATCTCTGTTTTTTTTTTTTTTTTTTGGTAATCTCTTATTCTTTCATTTTTTTTTTTTTAATTTTACTCATTCTTATAGTCAAATTTCTTTTCTATGTGTCTATTTACCATTAATCACACATATAAGAGTGATGGAAGCTCAACACACATATAAAATACAGATGAAACCTAAAAAGTGAATAAATTTCTTGAAAATTCTGATATGAATTGTTGATAATTTAATATGCTTTTTGATGGTTCTTATGACTACTTCATTCACTAGTGAAACTGTAGTTTTTTTTACCAATTAGGTGAATGCCAAACCAATTGTTGATTTTATAATTACTGTACTGTGATAAATTAAGCAAATAAGGGAATTTTTGTAAAACTTTGAATGGGTGGAAAAACTATTTTCTTTTTATTATAAAAAATGTCTCATTTTGAAAATAGAAAAAAAAAAGTTAAAGATATTGAAATTTAAACTTCAAAATTATCTTATATTATTTTTTTAGTAATAATTATATGAATTAATTTAGTTAAATTTTGGGTTCATAAAAATTATTTTCATTTCCTATAATGTAACTCCTTGTATTTGTCAACTAGAGAACCTTATTCTGCAACAACAAAACTCAGCATCTCTATTTTGCTTTGATTTGCAATAATGTCATGGGAAATCTAATGACATTTCAGGTTCCAGGCAATCACTCAAACCAAAAGTCTAGAGTTTGGTAAGACTAACCAATTCCTAAACCAATAGCCAAAATAAATAAATAAATAAATAAAGATATACCATATGCTAGAATTGGAAAAGTTAAAAGGTCACCCCTTTTGCCTATTAAGGTTTTCAGTTTGAGAATACTAGAATGATCTCATTCAAACCAGGCCAATTGAAGTTAAAATTTTACTCTTAAAATAAAAAGCTGAACTCCAAGTCTGATCTCCACCCCACTTGCAGGGACACAGAGATGAAATATTAAAAGCACAAAAATTCAATCTCAAGCTTTTCAGGTTTTGTTAGTGTCACTAACCTTAAATGGTACCAAATTTAATTGAGAGACGTCCGAGATCTGAGTTGAGGTCGTTACATTTAATTGATTGCTTTTGCAGTTGAAAAAAAAATGGCATAAAAGTCAGTCGGATGCAATTCATGGCGGAAAGAGGACGTCGATTTATAATATCCTTTCTGGAAAGAAATGTATGGGCCAACTGGAGGAGGATAACCAGTTACATCACTTCGGATTTGGAGATAATGATGGCCAAACCGAAGGGGCCCTCCCCCCTCAATCCCTTGCACTCTAAGCTGCTTATAGACGGACCACTTTAACTTTGAGCTTTGTTTTTTCCTTGTTTTCTCTTGCCACCATTTCTCATGCTCAGCTTCTACAATTTGCTTAATGGAATATAAACTTTTTTTTTCTTGTTTTCTTTTCCTTTTCCCTTTCTGAAATGAATCTGCTTAAATGGGTTTTAGATGAATCAAATGAATGGAAATGCCATGCAACCAAATTGTTTACCTTTCACAATATTTGCAGATGACATCTAAAAGAAAGACCGCAAATGCCATGCAATGGCACTAGCGGTTTAATAGTATCACATGCAATATATATATACCGAGTTCAATCAATCTTTGAATGAAACTTTAAAGAGTTGTGTTAATTTCTTCTTTGAAGAGTTAGGGGATATTAGGGTTCATTTGGATATGGGTGTTGAGATTAATTTCAATGAAATTAAAAATGAGGATGTAAGTGAAATTAATTATTGTAATTATAATATTAAAATTAGTGATACTTATTTATTTGAGTGTCAGAAACGTCCTGAAGTCTTAACTTCAAAGCCTCTTTAATCCTTTCTTCTTTCTTTGAAGATCGAACATGCCCCCCATTTTAAGCCAACTGAAAATTCATCTCACCAACTCATAAAATACATCAACATCTTCCAAACATTCAGTGTTCTTGTTATTTCTCAAGTAAATGCATGAACCAAGCCAAGCTAAGCACAGATAAGAGTATCCAAAGTGAGAAGGAAGGGCCCATGTTAATGCAATCATGAGAGAGAGAGAAAGGTCATAACTGAATGGGACCAATTTAGATAAAAATCCGAACTGATGATCATGCAGTGCAATGGCTAAAATTTCACAACAGGAAAAGTTGGAATTAGGGGACATGTTTAAAACTGGATTGATCTATAAGCAAAGGCCCTGCTCTATTACAACTGGTCACCAATTCCAACAGGACACGTGAAACCAAGTTAATCATCTCTGTTAGAAGAATAGGACCCTCCCAAAATTAAGGCTTTTTCTTAATCACAACAATTATAGTTGGAACTCAAGATAGGGACATAGCTTCCATATAGTTTCATTATCAACAACTGGTTTGTCTTTCTCCTTCATTAGTTTAATTGACATTGGATTATTGTTGAATTTGAGTTTGTTATTATACTATGATTTAATATTGAATTTTGATATTATTAATTTAGCAAAAAAATTGCTATTATTTTTAATTTTACTTAGTTTTGATATTATATTTAATTTTCGTTGATTTTTTTTATATAAAACCAACAAAAACCCATCATTTACATTCATAGAATATTGTAATTTCTATTTACCAAAAAAAATTGTAATTATTCCTTTAATTTTTATAAAAAATAATGAAATTAAAAGTTTAATAACAACATTCAATAAAGTAAATTAAAATATATTAAAAAATTAATATTTAGTCAAAATATTACTCCCTCTATCTCATTTTTTGTTGTTTATCTTTTTTTTTTTTGAGATGTCACAAAATTATATAATTTTATTTAATATCTACAACTCTTATTTTTCTATAGTTTAAACTTATTTTTTTATGATTTTTTTTTACTTTTTGACATTAAAAGTCATAAAATTTTAATTTTATAAAAAATTAATTTTAATCTTAAAGACATTAAACTTAAAACTTTTTTAATTTTATAAAAATTAATGCCGTCCAAACTACATCGAATTTGACTTGAATTCCTTTTTAAATCAGTAATTTATTAAACTTGGGTAATTCCTTTACAAAAGCTTCCATGAATACATGAAAAATATAGCAAAATCTTTTACATATATTTATATATAAAAGTAATAATCATGATGGTGTTGAACAGGAAAGAACATTTTTCTTCGAAAAGCCACACATCACAGCGTGACAGCCTAGCAGACCCTACGAGTTTGAGGCAGGGCAGGTGCTCCAACATACCAACCAAATCTGGATCATTTTTACCCCTAACTTAATATTTTAACTTAGCGTACAAATTACATTTTGCCAGTTTGCCATAAAAAATAAAAAATAAAAAATTGGAGGCCCCATCCACCCCCCGCTGATCATTATTCCGCTGCACGAAACGATCAAAAACTGTCATGCAATCCAATTTGTACGTCGTCCCAGTAAATTAAATTAGGCAATCAAAAATTTTGTATAATACTTCCAATTTTATTCGTAATTTTTAATATTTAATTTTTGAATTCATAATCGTTTAAAATATTTTAAATTTTTTATTTTTGTTCACTTTAATTAATATATGACAAAATCCACTGTCTCTGTACCACTTGACTCTTCAGGTGTTCAAAAAAAAGGGTTTATTTTATTTTTTTTTATTTTTAAATTAAAATTTATGTTAAATGAATCTCTTACGAAATAATAAATTTATAATCCATTAAATTTTTAATAATGATATACCAAATTGATAAATTTAAAATATTTTTAAAAAATCTTGAATCTAAAAATTAATTTTCAAAATTATGAATAATAAAAAATAAAAATGTTTCAGTGAAAATAAAATTTTGGATAAGTTTGCTCCTGTCAAAATTTATATATATGAAAGAGATCTCGACCAAAAAAATATGTATGAAACAGAGGAATTGAAAGCGAAATTCCTTTCAAAATTATACAAAATTAAAAATTATAAAAATTTATATTTAATATACTATTAGATTATAAAATATAAACCCTATATATTATTAATAAATAAATAAATATCATTTTATTAATAAAAATATTAAATTTTATAATAAAATATATAAAAATTAATATTTTAAAAAATTTATTTATGAGATGATATCATATAATTTATTTTATTAATAAAATAACATAATTTAATTTATTAAAATATATAAAATTTATATACGGACACACATCAAATATAAATCCAAATTATAAGTCCTCAATCTTTATCTGACAGAAATATAAGCATAATTCTCTATTCAATATATATATATATATACATACATATAAGTATAATTCCAAGGCATTTCCACCTTCAATTTTGATTCTACAATGAGACATAATGCTTAAATCAGAAACTTTGCAGCAAAACCAAACTAAAAACTATTGCGTTATTATTCTAAAGAAACTATATATATTTTTTATTTTCGTTTTATTTTGAAGGATGATCCAGATGTATATAAATACCACCTTCTATTCCCTCCATCACACTCACTCTTCAGTCCTGCACCTCTCTCCCTCCCTGTAAATCTTTTACGGGGTGTGCGTAGTTTAAGCAGAGAGGGTGCGCAGGATAAAGTTTACCATCGTTCCAAAATGATGCTTAATAGTAAAATTTTATTTCTATCAGCTTTGTTTTGCATTGCTGTAGCAGGGGTTTTAGGCCAAGCTCCTAGTAATCCTCCTACATCCACGCCGGCGCCTCCAACTCCACCAGCTTCTACTCCGCCGATTACTCAACCACCGCCTACACCCACCGCCACTCCACCACCGGTTTCTACTCCTCCTCCTACTTCATCACCACCTCCAGTGACAGCTTCTCCTCCTCCAGTTTCAACTCCTCCACCTAGCTCTCCTCCTCCAGCAACTCCCCCACCCGTTAGCCCTCCTCCACAGGCTACGCCTCCACCAGCTTCTCCACCTCCTGCCACTCCGCCACCTGCTTCTCCCCCTCCTGCTACTCCTCCACCTGCATCACCCCCTCCAGCAACCCCACCACCAGCACCCTTGGCTTCTCCTCCAGCCACAGTCCCAGCTCCTGCACCTAGCAAAAAGAAAGCTAAGTCTCCAGCGCTATCACCCTCAACCTCGAGCCCGCCGGCTCCACCAACTGAGGCCCCTTCACCCAGCCTCGGTGCTTCTTCACCAGGCCCGGCCGGAACCGATGTGGTATATTTTATCTTTTTTCTATCATATCTCTTTAGTTTTTGTACTTATCAGTATCAGTTAGTATTAATTTGAGTTGATTCTAGTAGTACGTACACTTATCCAATCCGACAGTTTTACTCGTTTTCTTGTCTCGTCGTTGGCATGTAGTCTTGTGCACTTTTTTTTGCTTGTAATAGGAGGATCTAGCGATTGGGGTAAAATTAGGGAGTCTAAGCTCTAATCTCTGACCACCTTTAAAAGCATGGTCGAAAGGGTGGATGTAAATTTTTGTTAGATTTTCACGCTCTCTGAACTTGAAGCATCAATGCGAGACAGATCTGGCGGTTCCCAGTGTGTTTAAGAAACTAGTAAGCAGTTTTGAACAAAGCAGAACGTACCCCATTGGCGTCGTGACAGGTAGCAAAAGAACTGCTAAAAAGTGATTAAACTTGTACCTCTGGTTTGTGGGGGAACTCGAGGCACATAATCCTAAAGGCAAAGAGCTTGTTTAGTCCATAGCTGCACCAAGCTTTTCCAGTTTATTTCATTGGCCCGACCCGAGCTTGTCCCAGTATTAACCAGGCTATCTTAACTTTTAATGGACCATCCAATTATTTGGCCTTATTTTATATGCATGTAGCAATTACTACAATATTTCTTGGTGGATATTAGAGTAATTCTGGTATGTTTGAACTTTTGATTGCAGAGTGGAGTAGAGCAAATGTGGTCCGTACAAAATATGGCAGGGAGCTTGGTGTTCGGATGGACTCTCCTCAGTTTGATGTTTTAGACATGTCTCTGTTCGTGTCTTAGCTATGTTTCATTCCAGTGTTTCCATATACTATTGGCTCCTTGCAGTCTCTGTTGGGACTTTTTATTATGCTTATTTGAGCTTACATTACATTATATATATCATTCGGATGTATTCTTTGGGAGATTTTTTGAGGGGGGCTTTTTGTATTGGAGGGGGAGTTATTGTTTATTTTATATGGGATATATCGGTGGCGACCTCGTCGCGCGATTGATTTGTTTTTTAATAGCTTCGCACATTCATTAATTATTACAACTACAATTTTTTTTTTTTTTTACTAAAGAAATCATAATTTGGAGATAAGAAAAAATGATGGCATAGGTTGAAAATTTAAAAATTTTTCTGAATGTCAAAACATGAACTAAGTTAAGTTTCGGATTTTATCTATTTATTTATTTGTTGCATCATCAATTTATCAAGCGTCTTTTAGATGATTTGTTGTATACAAAGTGGAAAAACAAACAAGTCTTTGATAACTTATTTCTACTCATGCAAAGAGGAAATTGATTTCCCAACCAACTTAAAATTCAACTATTTTTCTTTACTATAGCTAGAAAAAGGTTCCGAAATGGAAGTGGTGGAGCATGTGGAAAATAAATTTTTGAGAATCATCATGAATTCAGCAAGAGTAATGGAGTTGGTTTGGTGGTTATAGTTAAAAAGTATTAGCTCCGCCATTGATGGGTTCCCTTTTTCCTTGGGAGATCTTAATTGAGTAGTTTGCCTTTTTACACATACTTAAAAGCTGGGGATGCTAATTATTTTTTGAACTAGTTAACATGTCATTGGAATTGTTATTTAAAAGTTGCGAATTTAAAAAAATTTAAACTCGTAATGCCTTTTCAATCAAATATGCAGTGAGGTAAAAATGTGTAAGGGTGGATTAAGAGATTCATCGGAGTAGTACAGTATTTCATTCATCTTGGAGAGTTAACGTGATTACTTTCTCGGCCTAACATGGATGGATGGATAGATGGGCATTGTTGGCAAAGGACAAGGTGACGATGCTGGCTTGCTATGTAGTCTATTGGTAAATTGAATAAATATTAATCGTTCCAACACTTTTACCTTATTTAATTTAACAATAATTTTTTAAGTTGACTGTAATATTTTATTTATGACTTTGATGAGTTGTCCATGAATTAATAAATTCTACATTTAAATTTATTCGATAAATATATATTAGAATAAATATTTGAAACAAAAATGATAGTACAAATAACATGATCCGTGAATTAAATAGAAATTGGGGAAACTAAAAGGTTGGAATTCTCAAAGGAAAGATGACGGTGTGGCAATGAAAGAATAGTGGAGTTAGGGCTGACATTCCTGAAATGAGATTCCTGTTCCTATCAGATTCTATTGAATCTGGTAATTCTTATATTATAATATAAAATATTAATAATTTACATAAAAAAAAATTTATTCGAAAAATGGTGGCTAAATGAAACAACCACTTCTAGATGGAAAATGTTAACGGTAAGTCTCTCACAACGAGTGTCATTTTCAAGTTTCAAACCCCACGCTTTGACAGGTAAAGCTCGCTTGGGGCAAACATTCTACCTTTAGGCCAACGCCAACACCTTGTTGATAAATTATATATTATAATTTGTATTCATACAAAAATATAAAATATATATTTTTTAATTTTATTAAATTTATATATAATTTTTATTAAAATTTTAAATCATATTAATTTTATATTTTTTATATCATTTTTATTTTATATTATTGTATCATATTTTATATTAAAAATCTCTATTACATTATAGTATTAGGTCACTCCTCACCCACAAATCAAAAGTATTCTTCAATGGTGAAGGCTATTACACATACTAAGCATGTTTTATTCAAGGCTGGAAATCATCTAGATAACTGCATTTATTTTAATTATTAGTGCATGATTTCCTACTTAAAAATATAGGATTCGTTCTGATCCTTCTTTCTCCAATCATAAAGAAAAAATTGGAGACACGTGACATGATCATAAATGATAGACACAGATTCGGTATTTTTACCAAAAAAATTCGTAGGTTGAATGAATTAATCAAGCTCTTGGCTTTTTTTTTTTTCTCAAATTTAAATGATGTAATATGAACAATGAATTAACACTTCTTCCTCGTTGCAAATAGTTTAGCAAGCTCACTTTTTTCTTTATACACTTACAAAAAAATTTAATGTTACCATCAGCAGAGATTGTAAATTTCAACAAGGCCCAGGCTAAATTAGTAATCAAGGTATTGGGTCCGGGCTGAAGCCATTTCAAATGGCTGGGGCTTTTCTTTGTTATTTTCTGGCTCAAACAAGTAATTGAAAACTTTGTAAGAGACTGAAGCATGAATTTTGGGGCCTTCTTAGCCCATTGGGAATTGAAGTAAAGAAAAAGAGAACAAAGAGTTAAAATGTTTTCCAAAACTAAACCCACCAAGGCTATTCTTTCATCTTTCCATAGATGTTTTTATTTACTTAATTTTATAACATTTACTCAGATTTTTTCAAATTTTGTCACCAATTTTTTCTTCTTCTACTTTGAAACTTTTAAAAGTAATTGACACAAAGCGAACCTTTTTTTCATATAAAGAAAATAGTTTATGAAATTAAAAAAAAAAATTACAAATCCTGGATTTTGAACCGCAAACATGTAACAAGGTATGAAAATTGTTTATATTAATAAATTAAAATTCGAAAACCATTCATACTGCGAAACTACAATATTTCTAGAATGGAAAAAAGGGTCCCATTAAACCATTTTTTAGAAAAGAAAAAAAAAGAATAATTAATTTGAATCAATCATGGTGTCTCCCAAAAAATAATGAATCTGCCAACTAGATTGGCATCTGGCCCAAAGCCCCTCGTATTGTCCATTTTAATCCTTTTCTCCAATAAATCAGTAACAGAGAATTAACTTCGCCATTCCCCCATTGAAGCAATGAGTGTTAGATTGACAGTATGAGAGAGGTGCAATTACTTGCATCTAAAAAACCGATAGCATTGTCCTCATTTTTATGACGACGTAGAGATTTTGGTTTCGAACCAAAACCTGTTTCCTTTCTCATCGATTATGCCATCCTATGAAAAAAAAATGTATCATGTTGAAGACAAAAATATACAAGCAGACGCAAACACGCACGTACGCATACACACGGGAGAACAGAGTTCTCCATTCTAGACTGAGATACTCTTTTGCTTGTGGCATGGGCAGTAGTACAAAGCCTTAGCAGGCTATATTAGAAACATCAAACATAAATGTGTGAAAACTATTTTTCTAGGGCAATGCTCCATTGATCCACCACTGCTATCAATGTGGGTTATTCACTGTCATAAATATGCATCCATGCTTTGGATTTGCTCACAGAGGTGGGGTGTAAACTTCCTTTGCCGATACTTTTTCCTGCATGAATTTTCTCAAAGTTTTTTTGCCACCCTCAAAGTTATAAATTTGACATTAAATACTTCATTGCATATTATATTATCCCACATGTATTTTTGAAGTGCTCAACAATGTCAAGCAATTTAACAACACTCCCTAAAATACTGCTGCTGCTTCTTATGAAGGATTATGAAAAAAAAAATTTTGTAAGATGGACAAATGAGGGAATCAAAAAGTCAAAAGGAAATATCTTAGAAATTGAAGGTTTTCGTTTTTCCCATGTGATTTTTAATATTCAAAGAGTTGAAATATTTAGTTTAGATTCTATTCTTTGAGAATATATCCTGGTTAATGCTTATTCCCACCCCAAATAAAAACAAAATTCCCTTACCTTACCTTTCAATGAATGTGTTAGATAAGTCCTTCTTGCAGTAAAATTAATTACGATAAAATTAAAAATAATGGTATAAATTAATATGATAATCCAATGATAAAATTTAAATTGGTTGCCATAAAATTAAAATTAGTAATGAGATGAATTATGTTAGAAAAAAATTATGATAAAAGTAAAGTGATCGCTACAATAGGAGAAAATTTATGAAATGAAAAGCTTCAAATCAACTTAAAATTTGAACCAAATCATAAAATTAGTTTCATTTACGTTCCAAGACAATCACAAATAATTTATGTTCTATTTAGATGGTGGTTGAAAATTTTTTCTTATCAAATCATCACGTTGTTTTGGGACCAGAATTATCCAAACGAAGCCTTACTTATAGGCTGTTGCAACTAACTTGTCGAATGGTCCAAATCAATTAGCTAATTAATGTTCACATTCTTAATAATGGAATACTATGCAAAGAGTAAAACATTTGTGTTTAACGGGATGATTGTAGCCTGAAAATAGACGCAATTAAGAGGATGGCAAGTTTGGTGCAGCGGCCTCCTTCAGGAGAGCTGTTAATTTGCTCTGACGGGGGTAAATTGGAGACCAAATGGCAATTCCTTGATTTTTTTTGGGTCTTCTGTCGTTTTACTACCAAAGAGTTTCTAGCCATTCGATGAATTGAGGATGATGATATAGTGAATAGTGGAGTGAATAAGACATTTTTGGTATATTTATCTCCAAATTTACAATTTTACATTGCCTTTGTACTCTGGTATCTTTAGCCTTACTTTCAAGAAGAGAAATCATTTAATTACTATGAAAAGTATTTTGAAAGAACAAAATTTTAAATTGAGAAATGTCCTCTTAAAATCTTAAAACATCTTTCACAAATTATTATTATTATTATTATTAATAAAAAATAATAACTTTAAAATTTATTCAGATATCATATGAGATAGGATAAAAATATTAATTTTACCTATATCTAATGAAGAACCCAATTTTTTACTTGAATAAGAATGTGAATGAGTATTAAATTATAGATATGAGGATATGAATTGGTATAATTTTAAATTTTTATTAGATATAAAGATAGAAACGAATAATATAACACTTGTCTCATATTTATATTTTATATATATATATTTAGTAAATAAATTTTTTACTAAATAATATAAATTATTATTTTAAATTAATTCAAAAATATACATATATATGAATATATATATTTGTAAAAAATATTCTAAATATATAAAATTAAATTAAAAATTAAATTAAAATTTTTTATATTTTTTAAAGTTATAGATACTAAAATTATCTATACTCATTAAATATTTACGAAAATAAGATGAAAATAAATTTAAAATAATCATTAAATATGAATATAAGGATGAATATAATATATAAATTTAAAAATAAGATGAAAATGCTCACTTTTCCTCTATCATATTCATTGACATCGAACCAAATAATTTTAGGAAATGTGACTTGCACTCAAAAAGAAGACGTTAGGGTTGTTGGGATTGCACTATCACGAGTTTGTGTTGCAGTAAATTGCTGAACCTTAATCTATGCAAATTGGATGTGAATTGATGAAATCTCTTAATGATTTTTATTGCTATGGTTTGGTTTCTTCATTTATGCACTAATTCGACTATTAAATCTCGACCGAAGGAAGGAGCCTCATTAAAATATTCATAAATATATAGGCATTTCTCGCTCCCCGAAATAATGCAAAGCACTCATCAATGAGAATTTGACCTTTCAGAAACATAATCATGAGGTGGAACCTTCCCTCCCAATAGAAAAACCTAAACATTAAAATGAGATAAACGGCACCTAAAGTAGTGTAAAGATGCCGAAGACTGAAAGATATTGTCTGCAAAAGCAGGTAAAAATAACTTGGTAAAACAGTAGGATGAGGAAATCACATGGGCTTGGGGACTGTCACCTTGGGTCAAGTTGTAACTTTTAATGATATTTTCGTGCACAAGATTTGCTTTAAAACAATGTAAACTCCACTTCCAACCTAACCCCAACATTAGCCTTTGCTGATGACTTTGAGTTCAACGGTCAAAGAAGGGGCCTTACCTTCAAAATTTTTTCAAGTTATGGAGGCCCTACCAGGAACAGGGGACACGGTCAAGGAAAAAAGGTTGCAAAACGCAAAGGCAGGTACCTAATGGAGCTGAACTTTCAAAGGCAACCCTAGATGCTGTCAAGCACCCAAATAAAGGAAGTTCACACACATGGAGATGGGTGGATTAGAGCTGGATATGGCGGAATTTAGAAAGCTAAGACAGTGCTTGATACCCCACACCACGAAGAAAATTGTAGACTAGAGATGCTCGTGTCAAGTTTTAAAACATTGAATATTCATAACGCTAAGAGCAGATTAAATTAATAGTATAATAATAATAATAATAATCTTGGCCATTCAGGATTCCAAAAGAATGAAGTTTCATCGCTTCATTCAAAGCTGAGAGTAGTACAATACAAGAAGGGAAGATGAAGGAAATGCACGGATCTCTATATTCATCATGAGCATTAAATAATTGATGAATATCAATCATGTTTTCTGTTTACATTTTGCTTTCAGCAGCACTGCACAAATGCAACCACACACCCACCCAGAACTCATGGTCATTAACACATTTCGTTACAGCAGGTAAGCAAAAAAGTTGGTTCCATCTGATCTGATTTACCACACCTTTTATCAAGCATATCCAGCAAAATCTCTTTTCCTTCCCAAACTCCAAAACATCTTCTATGTCAAACAATCACACATGGAATCACAAATCCAGAAACAGTAAAATTAAGAATTAGACATTACTGTCAAACGCATGCTGATCAGCAGCAGTATCCTTTATACTGCCACATTATATTCATGAACATTGGAGTTAGTAAAACTATGAAAGGTTAAGGGGACAGCTTCACCACCTGTCATCAAGCAAGGAAGTCAACCACCATTAGCTCTATCCATAACTGGAAAACTGAGCTCCAACTCCACAGTTCGATTCTGCATTTAGAGTATAAAAATTCATATAGGTTCGATGGAAGTTCGAACCTGCGAAAGATTATGCTCTATTAACATATTAATAGAGGAATAAACAAAGTACAAAAAATGACTTCCACCTTGTAACTTCTAGTGGGTTAGCCAACTGCACTAGCTACCAATATGAACAATTGCCAAGATGTGATTCTACACTTCCTCATACTTCCATCCTCCAAATCATGCTGTCAGCACCACCATCCTCCGCTTTTTCTAGGGCAGCAACTTTAGCACGATGTGCTGCTAAAGCAATTGCACTCTTTCCCCTTTCATCCTGAGGGAGTTCACAGGTTTCACTGATGGATCCAGATCTCAAATCACCAGGAGGGATAAAACAATCAACAGCAAGGCCTGGTATGTTAAAGGCAACCTCTTCAATCGTCCAAGCTTCTTCCATCTTTGTTTTTGTATGGCTCATTGCAACTTCCCCAAACCTGAAAAGTGTAACAACAGAATGCCCAGAATGTGCTATCATGATACCTTCAACAGGCCGGTAATCTTCAAGAAATGAATTGATTGTGGTTTCCCAATAAACAGCATCACCACCATTAGATTGGATGCGAGTCAGATGCGAATCTTCTATGTGAACAAGAAGTCCAGTCTTCTGACTAAAGTAGCCAAATAAAACATGCCTAATGATCTCTGCAGGGCCTTCACTCCTTGCCTTCAGTGTCCGAGGATCAGTACAAAGCTTGAGGATGAAGCAATCCTCACCATTAATCTTTTTCTCTCCTATGCATCTTGCATCAGCAAACATACTAGCTGTTGTTCTTGGATCAAGACCCTGAAGCAGGAATAATAAACCCAAAAGAGAATATCAGAAAACTAAGAAAACTATAAATGAATAGCCAATGTTCAGTAGTTGAATAAGCAGGGGAAACCTTACCTGAAGTGCACGACGCAAGGGTCTAACAGGCCCCTTTGCTGTGTGTGCACCGAGCCAAGGTGTGTGCCTCCAAACAAGCTTCCCATTACAGCCAGCATGAACCTTGCTACCCCCAACCGCAAGTTCAATATACCACATATCTGGATTCATTTGCCAGAGTACAAACCCACCAGACTCAGCACATCTAGAGCCATTGCGGTTCTTAAGAGTCCTCGTCACAGTTTCGTGTTCAGAAGCTACCATTTTGAGTTTTCCCATTGCATATGCATTCCGAATGGAGTTTTGCAGCTTCTGCCCACCAGAAGCAGCTGTATACTGCTGCAATATGTACTGAGCAGAGGAAGTTTCCTGCACCAAACCGCAATGAAAGGGAAAAAAAGAAAAGATAACAGGTATCAATACTACGTAACAACATTTTACCACTAGAATACAGCATCAAATGAGAAACTTCACCCACATTTATTTTTATATCTGTTGTTGCACAAACAAAACACTCTTAAAATCCTTACAGCCACTAACACCCGGTTTCTACTTTGAGTTCTAACTACATTTTTTTTTTAATTGTCCTAAAAGTAATACTAGTATCTATTTGGAACACAAGAAAAGTCTACTATATTTCTACATGGATTTTTCCTTAAGTTTCTTGCTAACCAAACAGTTGGAATCAAACTCCTTGCCTTCAGTTTCTTGCAAACCAAACTCTCACTTTGTGCTCACTAGGAACCAGTCAAACCATCACCACCAAAAAACAACACCCCAGAAGTTCTTTTTTTTTTCTTTTCTCAAGGAAACGAAGTACCACAAGTTAAATAAGTAAAAGGAGAGAATGGAAAGGGGGACTAACAATGGGAGTATCCTTGATGCTCAAGTGAGGCAAAGGGTCAGTAGAGCTAACATGAAGTGGAGCCAAAGGCGCACCCATGACCCCAAGCAACAGCCTTAGATCAGACCTTCTGTAACTCATCGAAGAGACCGATGGGGTCCTAGATAACTGTCCTTTAACCCATTGTCCCAGCCCCGACCCAACCCGCTTCGAATCCCCGACTTCGCCTCCGTCAGGATCGGGACCTTCCATGAGTGGTGCTAACGCTTCCCCGACAAGCCTTAGACTTCCGGATCTCCCGATCAAGGACTCCGGTTGCGCCATGTAAGCGCCTCCATAGTTGTTGTGGTTGTTTTTCTTTCTCCGCAACAGACTGGCCATTGGTGAAGGGGCTCTAGCAGGGCTGTTGTTCCGCGAGCGGGAAGGTGAAAGCCCACGAAGTACTTCTTCTTTGAGAGCTGAGAAGAAACCTTGCTTTTTCTCCATTTCTGGTCTAGTTTTTCTTCTTAAAAAAAAAAATAGAAAGTTTCCTTCGTTGGAGATGAAGAAAGAAACAATGAGAGGAGAAAAGGGTGGGATTGAGGGGAAGTTTTAGAGAGGATAAAGAGAACGGTGAAGTTGCTTCATGGAGAGAGTGGGAACCGGAGAACAGAGCAGCAGTGGAAAAACCGTTCTTTTGTTTTTTTTTTGAGAGAGAGAGAAAGAGAACGTAAGGAATTTCCGGAGAGCGAAGTACGTTTTCTTGCTTTCCTGTTGTTATAATCCCATGATTTCAGAGAGTACCAAAAATAAATAAATAAATAAATATAAAAAAACCAAGAAAAGAATGCGATCTCGCTGGGGCTGGGGCTGGGACTCATTTCCTTTGCCCTTTTTGAATGATGTTTGCAATCTGAGATACTTATTTTATTCTTATCGAATAAGAAATCAATTTTAATTTTTGGGTATAGAATAAAAAACCAATTTTATCATTTTAAATTTATTAATTTTTAAAAATATACTTTTTATATCATTTATGTTTTCAAAATTTTACTTTTAAAATACTTTCATAAAAATAAAAATCTTATATCCATTAAAAATTTTAACTTTAAAATATTTTTATAAAAATAAAAATCTTAGTTAATATAAAAAAATTCCTTTGGCTTTTTATTATTTATTTGTCATTGAATTTGACTACATTTAACTTTTGAATGTATAGCGATGATTAGGACCCTTGTTACCTAATAATTAAGTAATTAAAGCATGTTTTAGAAATTTTTTTTTTTTACTACCAATTTGTTTATAATAATTATTATAAATTATTTTATAAAAAAATATTTTCCACCACGCCACGTCACGGCGGAATCCAACTTTGGCATGGCACTGCCAGCATATATTAAGCAGAAAAAGAAGGCGCATCTAAACTGAAATATTTTATTATTAAATAACAATATATTTTATTTAATTTTAATTTAAAATATAATATTAATATAAAAAGATTTACTAAATATTTTAATAATAAATTTAAATTAAATGAATCTAGATGAACAATTCTAATTCATCAATTAATGCATTCATTTTTTTAATAAAAAAAATTAATTCAAATTCTCCGAAAAATGTTAGATGCTTGTAATTCACTTGGATCGGCCCAAATGAAAATTTGTCCGCCTTGTCCACAAAAGGAGAAGCAAGGGCATAGACCGTAGTCAAGATGGGGACTCGGGGGTGTGGCATTTTTGCTAATTCAGGCACTTATAATTCATAATTTTCTCTGATTTTGCACTTGGGGACAGATTGGCTTGTCTTTTTCGCTAGAATTAAACAAAGAAGGACAAAAGCAAGTCGCTTGTCGTCGTACGTTGTTTGGTTAAACACATAAGAATACATCTCACATTTCAATATCTCCATCATGAGATTGACTGTATTGGCCTCATCACATGTGACCTAAAGATATATGCTTTATATTTTCGGTTTTTAATTGTTGTATGAAAATTTATCAAATATTTTATTATTGAAATTTTTTTATTTTATAAGAGGATTTAACAAGATGAAACATGTCTTTCAATATAAATTTAAAAAATAAAACATATTAATCTTATTTATAAAATTAAAATTTTCTTTAATAATACATCAAATATTATATATATTTGTAAAATGGCAATGTTGTGATTTTTTAATGTTGTCCCCATGAGTCCCTCATCATCCATGCAATAAATATCTTAATCCATATATAGATACATCTTAACTATTCTTAAGTTTTCAATGTTGCCATCATACCATCAATTTTTTCATAAATAATTCTCAATATGTTAATTCTTTAATTTTAACCGTTTCCACATATATGAAGCTTAAAATTTTATATTGGAATCTTGAAATAATAATAATAATAATAATAAGACAAATAACTACTATTACTATTACTACATATTATTATTATTATATAAATTTTTTATACATTAATAATAGAGTTTTTAAATTTTTCGAATTAAATATTTCAAAAAAATTATAAATTAAATTAAAAAGTTAATACGTGGCCTGTTAAAGTATACTTGTATGAAAATTAATAATTTTTTATAATAATTAAACTAACATTTAATTATATAACATTCTAATTTTGATTATAAAATTCAAAATTTCATTGTTCATTATTTTATAATTAGAAAGCAAAACAATCTCTGCAAAAATTATTGGACTTATGAGCCATGTTCTTTATTTATGAAATAGTAAATTACATAAATATATTTTGAGATTTAATACGATTTGAGTTTGTTTTTTAAGATTTAAAAAGTAACACTTAATCACATTGGATTATGTATCCGTGACATTCCATTAGTTTTCTTTAACATTGTCAACGCTTAATCAATAAATTTTAGCTATTTTTCCAAATTTTTTTGTTTGTCATTTTTCATGTTCCAACTTTTCAAAAAAAATTGGGTTGGAAGCATGAATTCTTCACAATCTTTAGCAAGTGGGGGATCAAATGATAGAAAAATATGTTATTATGGTGTAAAATCACCTGTAAGAACATTTGGAACAAGGAACAATATGTGAAAATTTTATGGGTGTGACAAATTTGATGTGAAATGTACTTCATTTAATCTTGAAATAGCTTGTAGTATAATTGAAATAACGTATTTAATTTTACATTTTCTTGTTAGGGAAGTCGAAAATGTGATTTTTTTTCAATGGATAGATGAAATGTCATGTGATTTATACAAAAAAGAGATAGTTAAATTAGAAGAAGCAATCAAGAAAATAGAATATAAGATTTTCATGTCAAATTAAAGAAGCAAGAATTATTTGAAGAATTGATTTTAGTTTTAGCAACAAAAGATGAGTTTGCAAGAAAAATTAGTTGAAGTAGAAAAAACATAGCTAAAATTAAAAGAAGAACTTGCTAATACTCAGAATAGAGAAAAAATAGGTGTTTTTAATTTGTTTAAGTGTTCTGATTTTGTTAATTTTTGTAGACACCATTTTTATTATTTTATTATTTTATTTATTTATTTATTCTTTTTTTTCTCTTTTCTTTTTCTTTTTCTTTCTTTTTCTGGCAACGACTTTGATAGCCGCCTGCAAGTTAACAGCGACTCTGACAGCCACCGACAGCCATTTTGACAGTCGATGGCTACCCTAATCGTAAGCGATCAAAATCTCAGACTTTGAGATTTTGATCTTCCTTTTGCTCTATAAATAAAGCTGTAAAAACACCATCAATGAAGGGACCTTGCAAAAAAAATATTTTCTTTTTGCAAAAACAAAAACCAAAACAAAAAAAAACACATAGTCCTTCCCATATAGAGGAACCATCAGCGTCAAGTCCCTGCAACAAAAAAAAGAGTCAATTTTGGTTTATAAAAAAAAAAAAAAGAGAAAAAAAATCGAAACTTTAAGCCTCGATCTACGTCGATCGAGGCTATTCCTTATGAAAAGGAGATCGGATCCAGAAAGAGCGCGTCGAGGATAATATTTTGGTATATTTTGAGATTTTTTGACACCGACGATCGCGACCAGCAGACAACGACTGACGGTCGACACGATCACTAACGATCGATCGACTAGTCTAGAGAGAGAAGCTCTCTGAATGGGGGAAAGGTAGAGAGAGAAAAAAGAAGAAAAAATAGAAAAAAAAATTTTTTTTGGCTTTTTATAAAAGTTTGAAAGCTAAAACGACGTCGTTTTGACTCAGCAAGATCCGCGCGTCAACCCACGACTCGACCCGAAGTCTGTGCACCCAACTCAGAAACCCACTTCCCTTTTCACCCGTGATCGATCCACTTAAATTGGATCAAACCGAACCAGACCGATGTTGAACCGTCGAACCAACCAGACCAGACCAAACTGTTGAACCAGCCCAAACCCACGTTAACCGCACCATTGATCGATCTGGTTCAGGTAAAAAAAAAATTTTTTTGAATTTTTTTTAAAAAAAATTATTTTTGTTATTTTAAATTTTATTATTAATATTTAAGCATATTAAAATATATTTACATTCGCTAGAATAAATGTTTGTTGTTTTATAATAATAATTAATAAAAAAAGTAATGAATTATATAGAAAAAAATTGTGATAATTTTGTTATTTTTTAAAAATAAACTTTATAATAATAAAATAATAAAATAATGTAAGGAAAAGAGAAATTTTTATCTGATGATGAAATTCAAAGGTACTTCGAGTAGTGATACCTACGAAATCTCTGGGTAATAAGATTTTTTTAAAATACTACCAGTATATTGGAGTATTTATAAAAAAATTTTGATACAATAAAAATTTTCTTTTCATAAAAACTAGTAAACAAAAATTAACTAATAAATTGAAAATAAGGTGATAAAAAAATGAGAAAAAGAAATTTTATCCAATGACGAGATTCTAAGAGTATTTCGAGTAAAGATACTTTAAAAATCCCTAAGTGAGAAGATTTTTAAAATATTATCAGTGTATTAAATATTTATAGAAAATCTTCAACATAATAAAAATTTCTCTTTCTTAAAAAATTTAAATAAATAATAATAATAATCAATAATAAAATGTGTGCATTAACATATTAGCATTTTTACATTGCATGTACAACATGATTTTTACCAAAAATAAATTCGAATCTCCGAGGATGAGATTTTAAGGTATTCCGAGAAGCGATGCCTGAAAAATCTCTAGGTGAGAAAATGTTTTTCTAATGTTACCAACGTGCTAAAATATTTTAAGAATTATTTCGATAAAAAGATTCTAATTTATTTTTCTCGAATAAAATTTGAATACTAAATAAGAAAAAATCAAATAACAAAAAATTTCAACAAACAAAAAAAATCAAGAAAATTGTTTTTCAAACACTGAAAACAAGACTATTTTTATTAAAATCAATGGATAACACATAGTTAAGTGGTATCGTTTTTAAACAGGTAATGTGAAGGTGCTAATCATTCTCCATATGTAACCGACTCCTGAATCCGGACTGTTTCGCCGACTGTTTCGCATACCATAAAATTATCTTTTTAATAAATTTTAATTAATTTTAAAATCTTATTAAACGGATAAATTTTAATAGATGGTCAATCGCACCTAGCCAAAAAAGATTGGGGCGACTCTATATTTTCATTTTTTTCAAATTCGTTGAGCAGACACAAAACCGTTATGATAGCTTGACGACTCCACTAGGATGCCATTTGTTTTCGAGAGTCAGGCCAAAATTAACTATATTTTATCCTCAAATTTTGATTTAAATAGTCTTAATCGATATTTAGTTTTTAATTCCTAGATTCTTTTCAC